CTCGTTCGCGCAAGCTCGGGCGAGCTCATTGCAAAATTGACCGCGCACAGGCTCCCGTTGTGGTCGCACAAGGATGGCGCAAGGGTTTTGCGCAAGCCGGCATAATGATGAATAATGCCCGTTCGGCTTTCATTGGAGGTTTTGGACACCGCTCCATATTCTTTTTGCCTAAACACTTCCAAACTTCCGCACGTGAACACAACTCAATAAATTTTATGTGCCTTCCAGATTTCTCCACAACAATTTGAGAGTGGCTTGGTCACGATGCACTCCACATCGCTCCACCACTTTTTCAGGTGGTACTCGTAATGATTCACAAATTGAGTCTTTTGGTTTTCCCACTGAGTAGAGGCTCCCGAATCTACAATCCGCAGAAAATGTAGAAAGAAGAATAAGCGTGACGAATCTAGTCTGTGTTCTGCTCTCTTCCTCGTTCCAGATCTCTGGAAGCTGTACCAATAATTGCCAATAGATTTTCACCAGAAAGTGAAAGGCACAAACAATACACATGCGGCTGTCCGTACATGGTTCTATTTTTCCAATTTAGGGCAAGCGGTGGCAATAGTACTTTTCCCTAACATTTCGCAGAAAGTGGAAGACCGCTTCTTTGTATAAATGCCGTCTCAATCCTTGCATATCCTTGCATTCTGGGCTTGTAAACCTACAAATCCTCGTTGCCATGAGAACTGTGAGCTGACCATGCTACAGACTATGATTAGTGTTTTTACCTAATTGTCACTTTTTACTTTGAGGTCCCGAAATTGATTGAAATGGCAATAGCAGAAATTTTGAAAGCTGAATGCTGCTCAAAATTGCTGAGCTGTTTGCTTGTTGCAGAATGTTGCAGCACAATTTGCCTTCAGAGCCTTTACTCCAGGCATCCTTCGTGGTACTGAGGAGCAGCTACGGGAAGCTTGCACCACAGTCGAATAACATCCCATTGGCCGCCATTGGTTCTGATATAAAAATGTGGTATGATGTGAACTGCACCACACGAGACCCTGTCGAGAGATGTGTTTCTTGCGCAAAGATGAATCAATTTGCCAGAATGTTGTTCGCTGGTTCGGCACGGTCATACACAAAGTGGTGCAAGTCGTATTTGAGAGCTAGGCGTTGCTTTCAGGATCCTACGAGAGAGAATGCACATGCCATGGAGATCTCCCGTTTTTGCACGTTTGGACCTTTTTTGCAGGATGTGTTGCTAGCAGCTCCAGCGTTGCAGTTTCTGGATCAGATGGGACAGACAACGCCGAAGGTCTTGGCTGATCAGTTGTGCAAGGCCTTTGGGAGGAACGGTTTGCTGGTCACAGAGGCACTGATTGAATCTGATTCATACATATTCATACTATATATGTCTTTTTCCTCCTCTGGGGGGCCAAATTATGAGTTTAGTTCCCACAGGGCACAGATGCAAAAAGAAAGCAGACAAGCCAGCATGGTTTATGGACATCTCACATGTCTTGCTGTTCTGCTCATCAAGAGACCACCTTGCTTTTGTCGGAATGCAGCATTCAGCAAGGGTGTCGGGATGCAAGAAAGGATTCAGCAAGGGTGCAACTAGGCTGGATGTCACGTATCATGCGCGCCTAGACATTGTGTTTGGACATCTTAGTTGAAACAGCAATGAATATATAAACATGAATAAACAAGAACCTAGGTCTTCATTCGTAGCACTTTTTTCATCTTTTTTCGTTTTTTTTTCTGGGAGACTAGGTTGTTGACTTCTTTTTGAGATATCGATCAGAAAAAGTAGTTCTTGACCAAAGCGCCTACTTTTGCAGTTTACCTCTGATTTCTCTGATTTTATTTCACATTGCGTTGCCATATTACACATTCAACATCATCCAATCCTACTGTATTTCAGTTAAATGTTCTAATGTGGGCCATTGATAAAACATGATAAAACTAAATGGTGCAATGACAAGTGGCCCCAAATCGACAGGGTCAACCACCACCTACCCTCTATCCACCATAGGCGAATAGAATCGACACGCTAAACTCTGATCAGCCATGTTACCAGTAGTTGGTCAATCGGCTTTGAAGTGCCCCTGACAGACTCTTTGGCTCACCATTTCTTAGATTGTGTTCATTTTCGTGTGCGTTGTGCACGTTTTATGCGAAAGTTTGCGCCTACAAAGACCTTCAAAACTCCTTCAAAAAGCTGCAAAACGACTACAAAAACCATCAAACGGCTACAAATCCCGGAATCTAGGTCACTTTGACAATATTCCAAAAGAATCGGAAATTTTGAGCGTTCCGCCTTTTTTTGCATAGTTCTCACATGTCCTCACAGAAATTTTATAAGTCTTTGGAAGAAGCATGGTCATGATGGCAAGTTTGAACACTGTGCGTGTATGCACATCACCATGCGGATTGGGGTGCACGACTTATTTTGCGGAAGACCATTTGAAACTCCAGGCTTTTCCGTGACCAAATTCTATAATCAATGCAGGGGGTCGGGGAGTGACAGAAAATTCAAGGTTGCAGTGGAGGGAATAAAGTTCACGACTGGTTTTTGGAGATATCGACCAAAACGTCTACTTTTTGAATTAGCGTCCAGAAAAAGTAGAACACTAGGGGTCGGCCAGAATTGTTTGATCTTTTGAAGACCTGGGAATACTTATTTGTGCTGGCTGATTTGATCCTATGCAGACTCGTGCTTGTGATACAGTGCTGGCCTGCCATGCATTTTATATCATTTTATGCCTTAGCATCATTGACAATATGTTATAACATTTTATACTGCATTCTCATATCGATGATATTTGATGATGCAAGGTGGGACTTGAAGGAATTTACAAGTTGGCGGATTGTTGGTACTCTTCTTGACAGCTTCAGGCCAGGGAGTGTAGGGAAGTTTTGGCTGGGTATGGCTGGGTGATGAGATAGTCAGATAAATCAGATAATGTCAGATAGGCAAATGCTCCACAGCTTCTTCTCCGCTGTCTATGCCGCTGGTCCGACTGCTTCGAGATCGTCTCCAGCAACTCGGTGTGCAGAGAGAGATCTGGTGATGTCTGGTGTGCAGGCCACCCTGAAACGGGAGCGGAAGAAAGACTTGCACCACTTGCACCGCTTACAACAAGTGGCAGTGGAAGACATTAGAAGACAATATACACCAAACGACCGAAAAAGCGTCTTGCAGAGCACATGCTTTAGGGCCCAAGGTGCTCAACTATTGTCCAACTGTTGCGCGTTCCTGTTCAGAAAATATGACAGCTCGGCACACTTCATACGATTGTGCAAACGTCCATTGCGAATTGTAATTGTTTAGATTTCATTTCACTAGAGTAGTCGTGTCTCTCTCAGTCATTCTCAGATGCATCGTGCGTCGCTTTGATTCGCTTCCTACCCAAGGTTTGCTCAGCCTCTTCACTTTTGCTTCCTGGCTGTGTTGCTGTGGCTGGAGCACGGCCTGGCTATTGAACTGCCATTGAGTAATATTAAATTGAGTTTTTACTCTGGGGGAAAGTAATGATGAGGGAAGCAATAGGGTTTGAGACAACGCCATACTATGCCAGTAGGGTTTCTAGTGAGTTCATGCGAGTTCTGTTTTTTTTTGTGAGATTAGCGCCAAGGCATTGAGCATCTCATGTCATCGGACCGTGGTGACAGCGCGACATTCTGGACCTGGGATTTTCAGCGGCTTGAAATTGCCGCAGGCGCGATGAAACGGTACCCTTGAAGTTGGGAGCCGGAGCCATATCAATTCACTGACAGCAAGAATTATTAGGATTGGTGATCAAAGATGCATTCGTGCCCATCATTGCTCATCACTCCGCTGGACCACTAGACCGCTAGACTTGGATCAGCTTGGTTCCCTTCTGGAAATGGTTTGATTCTTGCGTCGCTGGAAAATCCGGAAAAAATGTGTACTGAGAAGATCTAAGAAGCATTTTTTGATTGCATTCTTGCAGAACGTGAGAAGATCTTTTAAGATCTCATCAACCAGCAGGTTTCGCAGTCTTTGCCTCTTCATTGTTTGTCGAAATCCGTCAGGTGCTGGAGCATATTGCAAAAAGAGAGATAGAAGGGCTGGACACTCAAGCGATCATGGCTTGGAGCATCGCAAGGAAGAAGGCCTCAAGCCTGGCACGCCGCTTGGCACGCCACTTGAATCTTCGAAGCCAGACACTTTCAGAGACTTTCAGAGACACAGGAGGACACAGGAGGACACAGGCACATGTTCACATTCGTGTTGGGATGAACCATGACAAAACAATCTTGCACTGGCCAAGGTGAATGGAAAGGCATCGGGGACCTTTTGACCAACACCTGACAGCTTTGAATGGACATGCTGGAGTTGCAGTGGATTAGCCATTGGCAAACCAGCCACGAGCAGTGTTGAGTTGATTTGGCTTGTTTGGCACTGGCCAAAATGGTCGCTTCAAAGATCCTGAAATGAAGCGACGAACTACTTGGAGCATGAGCTGCTGGAAGAAGTTCTTTGCACCGCTACGGCTGCAGCTCCACCCACGCACGGCTGACTCCTGTTTCAAGGACAACCAATGGTGACTTATTATGACTTATTGAATCTTATTGAAAAACTTATTGACATTTGTAGAAAAAATGTAGGCATTGACATTGGGCCTTTAATAATTACTGATGACCCCATGAAAATCCTCTGAGGAGGTGGACAACAGGCGGGACGTAGTAACGTGCCTAGAGAAATGTCTTGAGCCGATGGAAAGCACTGAGCCTACGTCAACTTGTGGCAACGCCTATGGCAGAGGACACTACGGAGACTTTTTAGAAGCCAAAGCCAAATTAAGAGAGGAGGATGGACGACGGAATCAGACCAAGTGCATCCCAGTTACCCAGTTTTTGTTATCTTCATGTGGATCACAGCTTCAGATGTCCAAAGTGATATCTTACAATTTCTTACAGAGCGAGAGAGGTGAAAAGAGCGAGGCTGACGATTCGTTAGCCTTCAAACCGCACCTGAGTCTTACTTTCACTTTCTGATTTGTTTTTGCAGGTTTCTTGTCCAGTATTGCAAGGTCACGTACCACTTGGTTGCCAATTTGGAGAAGCCAGCGTTCAAGGCATACTGCATTTGGAAAGCCTATGGAGAGGCCCGCCCGAGTCGAACCACCAATGAGTGGAGACTCAGCGGATAAACGGATATAGATATAACGGCAAGGGTCAGCTGATACCAGCAACCGCAGTTTTTCATTTGTATTTGTATGGCAGTTTGTGTAACATTGCAGTAGTCGGTGCTCGCTTGCCCGGTTAAATGAGTGCTGACAACCGTGACAAAAAGATGGTTCTGATATGGCAGTCGATCTAAAGGTCCTTGTGAGATCTTGTAAGGAGTTTTAATTGCGAAAGCCGTGCGTGTTATGTTGGAAACCCTCGCGAATGTTTTTATTTGAGTTCGCGAATGATTTTTTTATGCGCGAAAGTTTCGCGAAAGTTGGATATTATGAATCATGCGAGCCAAATGCCATGGTCTTGAAGCACATCCTTGCACCTGCCGCTGGTACTCCTAACGTTGCTTTCTGAAGTCTCAAGAAGCAAGCTCCAAATGCAGCAGCCAAGCTTCCAAAAGTGAGGCTTTGCGAGAGCCAAACACCAAGGCCCCCGGTGTTTGCGAAACCTCTGATGCGCCCCCTGCTGATGGCTGGGGTTTGCGGATAGGGGTATTTTCGCGAAAGTTCTGCGAAAGAGTGGGCGAAAGCCAAAGTGCATTTTGAAGGGGGTGGCCCGGTAAGCCTTGAAAAAAATTGCCTAATCAGCAGCAACCTGTCCTGAGCAGGGGATTCCGTGACGCTAGCTGCATGTTTTACAAGATATTACAAGGCTATGAAGAAGTTATCCGTGGTAATTTTGTGTGATTTGGCAGGTGATGAATAAGTCTTCATAAGAGCAGTTGTTGCTCAACATGGGTTCCGCGAAAGATAAATATGGGGTTCGCGAAAGATTCACGAAAGAATTGTTTATTCGCGAAGAATGGCCGTTCCCGGATAAAGGAATTTTGATCAACCATCATATGTTCTGATAAGTTGATCCTTCCACTCAGAGATTTAGAGGACTTAGAGACAAAGATAACATCGTTATAAGGCGACTTTGTCGCCTGAGTCGTGAACTGAGGGGTAGACCGGAGACCCAAGATGCAGGTTCTACGTGGTGTGGAGCCAGAAAGGGCAACAAAGTTCAGACGTGTGTTCCGGGCTCGGAAGGGATAAGGCATCGTAGACACCATGATGTTTGCTGTGTCAATTTTATGTTGTCCTGATCAAACTTCATCTGAGGCAATCTTAGGACTTCTTAGACCATTTTAGGCGATCTTAGGCCATTTTACGCCTACTCTTCCGAAGGACGCCCAATATAGAAACAGCAAACCAAAACAAATCTTGCTTCAGTGTCAAGCAAGGTTTGGGCGGAGGTTACTTGTTGGTTTGCCTAAATCCCAGCTACCGCGTTGTCGATGCGTCATGTGAAGGTGGTACAATGGTACAAGTTGGATCAAATTTTGAATTGCCTGCCCAGTGCCATCCAGCGCCATCATCCATCGAAAGCCTGAATAAGAGACAGCCTTAGCCATCCTGAACCTAGGTTGAAAGACATTCCAGCGCAGCCACCGCAAATCAAAGCATCTCCGTCACAGGCGCACATACTGTGCCTACACAACCGGATCTCATTTGACAATGGTTTCTGCATCGTTTTTTCATGTTTTTCAGGGAAATTGACCCAACTTCGCAGCCCGACAGCAGTCTTCGCAACACAAAGTATCTGTACATATTATCTGTGTACATATATATTATATAGATAGATAGATAGAATAGAATAGAATAGAATAGAATAGATTAGATTAGATTAGATAGATAGATAGATAGATAATTAGATAGATAGATAGATAGATAGATAGATAATTAGATAGATAGATAGATTAGATAGATAGATAGATAGATAGATAGATAGATAGATAGATAGAATAGAATAGAATAGATTAGATTAGATTAGATAGATAGATAGATAGATAATTAGATAGATAGATAGATAGATAGATAGATAATTAGATTAGATTAGATTAGATTAGACTAGATTAGATTAGATTAGATAGATAATTAGATAGATAGATAGATAGATCACTTGATGTTATGTTATTTCTTTTCTTTCAGGCTGCAGGCTGGAGCAATCTCGCAAGACCTCTTCCGGACCCTAGAAATCCTGCGCAACTTCATTGGAACCTTGAAATCCTGCTGGAACCATGCCTCGAGTAGCCCCAGTTCCAAACATTGAAACTCTACATGTACAGTTTCTGTTGGAAACAAGAAGCTGAAACCTGTTGGAACCTTCCCTGGAAACCTGACTGGGAAACTTTGCTTGTAGAACGTGCCTCGGAACCTTGCTTAAGAACCCACTGGGAATCTTGCTTGTGAAGCTTATCTCGCTTGGAAACCTCGTTGGTAATCTTGCTTGAAAACTTTATTTGGGAACCTTGCTTGGAAAATCTTGGAAAGTTGAGTGGGGAACCCGCCGTTTCACCCCACAGCATTCCGCTGCTAGGGGAAAAGTGTAAACTCACACAAGTTGAACCACTGTGTCAGGCTGCGCTCATCATCAGTCAGTTGCGGGCCTGGCAAAAACATGAAAACAGACCAGAGATAGCCAGAGACAAAGTGGAGACAGGAGCAGAAAGTCAACAAATGCCTTGATTTGACTTGTGATTTACGGACGTGCCAAAACCTGATGCACGTGGGTAAATTCTAGGAAAATCACAACCTCGGACGTCAGTCTTCGTGAGTGGGCAACCTGCCCGTTCGCCCTTGGCTTCTCTTTATTTCCAGACTGCAGAATTTAGTATTGCATGAATGGGCATTGCTGTACCAGGTTTCAAAGTTTTAATGATCCTTCAGGCGGCATTTGATGCCTTCATTGCAGCTGGTTTGTGTACAAAGGCAACATTACAAGTTGACGATGCTCCATTCTCAGATATTCTCAGTTCTGGTGTGCTCTTCAATCCTTGCGCTTTGATTGTTGGCCAGATTGGAAATTGCAGAGGTTCTGGTAGACATTTGGGCGACTGGAGGAAGTATCGAACTCGTGCTGCCAGTATTGGTTGAAGGCCATCCTCAGCGCTGTGTATAAGATGTTCAAAGACATGCAAGATGTTCAAAGACATTCAAGAGCACCACTGTCATTGACTGTGTTGTCACATTTACCGCGAGCGAAAAGATGCGAGCCATGCTCTCCCATGAATCAACCGGTGCCACAGGAGACCCACTTGTCGATGCCCAACTTTTATTGTCGGAGGCTATCAACCGAAACGAAGCAAATAGGGAGGAATGGGGCCTGTAGCCAGAGGCCAGAGTTGAATGACGCATTGTAAGACATGATAGACATGAATCCCGGCAGAGTGATGTCATGGACTTTGATGGTTGTATGCTACTGGTGAAGTTTGTATCCTAAGATGTTTCTTGCGGTTTTCTGAGGTGACAGCAACTATGGCAGTGGCTGTTGATGGTTATTGATGGCTGTTGATGGTCGTAGATTTGCGCTATGCGATTCATTTTGGTATGAAGCTTTGGGGGAAGCAGGAAACAACGACGCCAGTTTTGCCTGATCCAATCCAAGCTGCACTGGTTTCGTGGTTGGAGGAGGAGAGCGCATGTGAACCCGTCAGAGCATTCGATGTGCTTTTTGCATCCCAGATTTGGCATTTTGATTTGAGCAGATGTTGAGCGATTTTTTGCATATCTGATTTGCCTATCTGTCCGTCTGTCTGTCTGTCTATCTGTCTATCTATCTACCTATCTATCTACCTATCTGTCTACCCACCTACCTATCTGTCTGTCTGTCCCTACCTACCTATCCATCCATCCATCCATCCATCTATCTATCTATCTATCCATCTATCCATCTATCCATCTGTCCATCTGTCCATCTATCCGTTTATCCATCTATGCATCTTTCCATCTATCCATCTATCCATCTATCCATCTATCCATCTATCTATCCATCTATCCATCTATCCATCTGTCCATCTGTCCATCTATCCGTTTATCCATCTATGCATCTTTCCATCTATCCATCTATCCATCTATCTATCTATCTATCCATCTATCCATCTATCCATCTATCCATCTGTCCATCTGTACATCTATCCGTTTATCCATCTATGCATCTTTCCATCTATCCATCTATCCATCTATCCATCTATCCACCTATCCATCTGTCATCTATCTATCTATCTATCGATCTATCTATCTATCTATCTATCTATCTATGTATCTATTATCTATCAATCAATCAATCTATCAATCTATCTATCTATCAATCTATCTATCAATCATTCTATCATTCTATCTATCTATGCATGTATCCAGTTTCATCTAATCTAGTCCATTTTAATCTTATCTCAATCTTAATATTGATCGAATCTGGTCGAGTCTATTCTCATCCCTAATATGTGTATGCATTATATATATACACACACATCTTGATATTATGACTATAATTCTTGCTAGATGTGAATATTGTCCAATCACTGTTATGTATCTGGTGTAGTATATATTTCATATACAAACCATCATTATTTTATGTGATATTTGATATTGTTCTTTTTATATACACATCATATACATATGGCTTTTTGTTTTCATGCGTTCCGAAACACAATTCGAAGCTATGGGCACCGCTTGACACTATGTGGGGCTTGAGGCAGGACCTGGATATGTGTCTTTGCAAACATACTACGTCAGATGCTAAGAAAATCTAACGGAAAAAATGAAATGTTCAGACTACCACGTAGGAGATGTAGGAGTCGTACGAGCATGTGCAATGCTATAAGTCCAGATCATATCCGCATCTCATTTGTCATATTCCACATTCTGCGGGCATGCTCTTTGACAGACAATTTTCCTAGAATCTCTCTTACAGTACTGTTTAGTTTGCTCAAAACGTAGGTGGAATAGCTCTTTCATTTGGCATATAGTCATGCCTTTGCAACTTGTAAGGATCTAGTATCATCTAGTACTCATTGACTCCATGTGGTTCTGTGTATGTAATGCCACACTCAGGTCAACTCACGCTGGCGCGGCCGGACAGAGTACTCCAACATGGTGTCAGCCTTGCAGCCTCTTGCAGCCTGACATCTCAAGAACTGTCGTTGTTCATCTTTTTTGTTCACGAGCGGGTCCGGAGACTTATGAGAGCGCAAGCATGGGAGTGCCAGGTATGTTCCAAAGCAACGACTATTTCAACTTACTTTGCACAGGCAGACCTGAGACGGCACTTGCATGGGAAGACGTGTGACGTGTGGTGCATTTACTTTGTGTATCATGGGACTTGTATTATGAATTTGAGTCACCCAATCACCAGTGTTGAGACTTGAGTATCTAAATGTCTAAACGTTTTGATGTGCATGCCATGTTGTTTTTTGTTTCCTTCTTCTCCTCGGAAGGTAGCAGAAAATTGATTCATTTGAAGCTGGGCGAGAATAACGACATGTGGGACACGTTTTCCTCTTTATTAAAGAAGTTTGCTACCAAGTCTGAATTCAACATGCTGGGATACGCAGCCTGTGAACGCACAGAGTATGTTTCAATTTTTTCATAATTTCACAACACCCATACAGATGTCCAATCTTTTAAAGCGTAGAGCTGGACTGTCATGTGGTTGGAGCACAATATAGCACAATATTGCCATGCGCGCTGCGCTGCGGCAAATTAAAGCCGATTCTGAAGGTGAGCATGCATATTCCAAGCAAACAAGTCGCACACTTTGCGGGTGCAATGCTTTTCATTGCCAGAAAGATTATGAAAGATTGACTGTGCAATTTGAAATAGTGACAAGCACGATAATTCCATATATTTGGCAGAGCATGGAATCATGGAAGAGCGCTTTGTGAAGCTGTGTATAATTCCCTTGCATGATTGCTGCAGAAAGCTCTGTCGAAAAGATTGCAAGACATGCATGCAATGAGGTAAGGCCATGTGGCTGATGGGACAGATAGAAGACGCACTTGGCGTGAGGATGGGTTCAAAGAAAAACTCTAGTGGATGCCAAAGACGCTCCGGAAAAAGGAAGGGTGTGAAAGGCTTGTTCAAGCAGTTATTTCAAGGTTGCATCACTTGATTGTGCTGTCATGTGCTGTCCAGCAGAGAAAGGAAGGTGCAATTGTCAAGGAGCGTAGGAGAGCACTGCACCGGATTGATCCCGCAGCATTTTGCAGACTCGAGTAATCAAGCAATGTCCAAAGATGGCAATGGCTTAGAGGGATTCGAAGGCCATGGGACGACGCAGCCGATTGATCAGTGCAATGTGTGTCAAGCCCACAGACGAGCAAACTCACGATACCCACGATGACGGACCGTTCATCGACTTCATGCTGCGAGATGTGGCACGCCGCGGCCTGTTGAACGCTCAGCAGATGTTGGCTCAATTTGCAAACGAACCTTTACCATTTATCCGCCGTGTGCTGGGAGCAGATTATGCTGCTCAGGCAGTTGCTGATCAAGCACTGACCCGAGAGCAACTCAGCTGGAAAATGTTGCAGGTGCTGCCAGTCAGTTCAACACAGTCTAATGGTCTGCGTGCTATGCAAGAGGTTGTGAAGTCTTTCCGAACATCCAAGTTTCTACACTCCAAAGTGTCTATGTACTTGCTCCATCGTCATTTTACGGAGGCCTTTGATCGGAAGGAGTTGCGAAAGCAAACAGAAAGCACTTTTAGTCGACACATGCGGCTGAAAGATTTTTGGCCGCAGTTCCATGTGTCCTCTCGCCTGAGCAACACTGGAATTGGAGCAAGAGCACTGACTGCTCCAGATTCCCTACCAGACGTGGTCTCCAAGCGTGACAAAAGAGGGAGGGGCAGTAAGGAATTGAAGGATTTGAGCGCTTTGAATGCTTTAAACGCTGAAAAAAACAGCAAAAGCAAAAAATCTGTACCAAAGACGCCCAAGACCATGACCACGTTGGAATGGAAAACCAGGGCAGCTCGGAGCCACTGCTCTGCTGGTTCATGGGATTGGTTGCCAAGACTGGATGCTGCATATGCTCAATCTAGTGAAGCTGGAAGATTCGATGCTCGCAGCTCATATAGTCAATACAGTCAGTACAGTCGGGAAGCTGAGACGGCTGAGATGAGTGAGGTCAGTAGAGATGCTTGTGGACTTGGTGACTTCGTGAAGGGCAAAGCCCAGCATTTTCCCAAGCTCGTGACTCAGACAAAATCGCACGGGGCTTTGCCTAGTATCCAAAATGGCAGAGATGGCAAGAACCTTTTGCAGAAGAGCAAATTTCAGCGACCTTGGGAAGCAGGGCAGCTCGGAGGCAAGTGGTTTGCATCCACGAAGAAGTACTTGAATGCATGCAACCGTGAAGGTCTCCTGCCCTCGACCGATCCATTTGTCACAGGACACTCTGACTGTATCAAGGCAAAATCGCAGGGTCTTGCTGATCGAGACGTTTTTGCTATTTGTGAAATGCTTAGCATGGGGTCACCTGTGCGAGAATTGGATTTGGAAGGCAATCCTGCAATCTCAGAACGAGCATTCCTATATCTTTTCCAGTTTTTCATTCGTGGCAATGTAGCACCCCCTGTGGGAAACCCTTTGTCAAGTCCTTTCTCCTTGGAACAGACACCCGCACCAAGCGCTTCGCGAGATCTTGAAAAGCTAAACTTGGCAGGTTGCATCAGCATCGTGCAGGATGAGCCTTTTGCCGGATTGCTTCAGCTTTTGAATTCTCCGAGCTTGGACAGTCTGCAATTTTTGAATTTGTCCGCGCTACCACTTGGTGTAAAGTGGCAAGTGCCTTTGTGCAAAGCAATCCACATCCATCCTTCAATCAGAACACTCTCTTTGGCTGACACAGGGCTGGGAACTAGGTCTTCAGGGGATGAAGATGACAACACAATGGCTTGCGTTGTGGAGCTTTTGAGCAGCAAGAACATTGTGCACTTGGACCTTAGTTGGAACTGCTTTGGGTCTGTTGGCTTCGACTTCTTGGGGCAGAAACTCATCGAATTGGGCATTTTGGAAAAACTCGATTTGGCGCACTGCTCCACATTGTCAAAGAAATCTCCATGGACATCCTCGATGGTGCATTTGCTGGAACATTTGAGGGACAACAAATCTCTGCGAAAATTGAATATTTCTGGAAATTATTTGGACTTCCGCGCTGCTCTTGTACTGGAGGACTCTCTTGAATGTAACTCAATGCTGCGGGAACTGGATGTATCTAACAACAGCCTTGGAAACCCAGGAATGCGCAGCTTGCTCCGGCTGCTTTCAAGAAGCACCTCAGGATTGCAGTACTTCAATTTCGAGAACTGCAGTAAGGGCGCAGTCGTGAATTCTCGATCAGAGATGCAGGTGTTTCGGGCCTCCCGGCCACACGGGAGATATGAGCTGGACCTCTCTCGGCCATATGATCGAACACTTGTGCGAATGCTCTACAAGACAGCTGACCGGCTCAACGTGCCGCTAGACCAGACTTTTCGCGACATCACTGGAATCAACTGGAGTCATCCGCAAAAGAGCTCGAGTGGCTATCAAATCCCTCAGACTGGAAAGATGTTTTTGACCTTCGCAATGGACAAAGTTTTGGAAGAGAGGACTTTGCAGCGATTCAAGGACCCAGACTTCTTGTCCCTGCTGCAATGCCACTATGAACTCTTGAGGATCAAACCTGATCGCTCCAAAATGGTGGCCTTGTTGGCACAGTGGAAACGCATGGACGGTCTGGCAGAAGAGCAAGCCATCATGATCGATGCGCTTTCCAAGGACTTCAGTTTGGACTACACCCAGATCTTTGTGCTCTGCCAGAGCCGTGCTACGAGTTGGAATGTCATTGCCAGTCTCCAGTCTTCATTGCCTCCTGGAAATCAATTGGAGACGTACATGTGCCGTCGTCTCATCCCTAGTTCCTGCGACTATGTCAGGATGCTTCAAAAATCAGCGTCTCTGTTCTCATTCAACGCTAACAATCCAACGGGGCACTACAGATTGGATTTGTCCAACCCCATTGATTACTCAGTAGCAGAAAAACTAGCTATTCTTGACAATTGGGAAACTGCACTTCGATCACGCGATGGCAAGCCAGATGTCTCGCAGCTGGGCAATTTCTCCCATTGTCGTAATGTCCAATATTCAAATTGTCCTTTGCCTCGAAGCTTCACCGAATGGATCCCTGTCGAGTTTGATGTCTTGGAGCTGGACTATAGCAGCTCAAAGAGACCCTCCAATGAGACCTCAGCACCACAGGCAGTGCCACTAGCTGACACTGTCTTCGAGCAGCTGCTAAGAGCTATGCTACAGTTTGTGGTCTCCTCATCACAAGCAAAGCTTCAGGCTTTGCAACAGTTGTCAGACAAGTTCTTTTTGAATTGTTCACAGCTCCGGCAACTGGTAGACTTGTTCAAGGAGTCAGGCACACGGCAATGTGTGTTTGTGTGCTTTTTCAACCGGCTTGTGGACATTCAAAATGAGAAGCTTGTGAGGGCCAGGTTGGCCAGGGAAGAGCAAGCATCCTTGATGGCACGATTGGGATATGTTTCAGCTTTTCCGTATATCCAACCAGAGCAGATGCACATACATTTGCACCTGAAGAACTATGATGAGCGGCTCCTGATGAGTTTGCTCTTGAAGTTGTCTATCAAAGAAAACCTCTCAAACATTCGGGATCCCCATCTGACAAACTCTGATGGCAGCACTGACGCGTTTGTGTTGGGTGTTCCAAAAACGTGGGAGCAGATGTCCAATGTCCCGAAACAAGGGGTGTTTGAAGCCGACTACATGTGCAAAGCAGATGATCGCAATGTCAAGGCCAGAAAAGACTTTGCAGAGCAATTTGGTGGTTGGAATACGCATGCAGAAGAGATTTCTTTTGTAGGCTTCTTGCGCAAAGTTCCACCAGATGTAGTGTCCCTGGTATCCTGGCTGCTTGTGATGACTGGATCTTTGTCAGCTGCTTTTCCATTTGTTTGCCCTGGTGATCAAATGTCCAGTCGAGAGTTTGAAGATGGCTGCCAGCGCAATGGCTTCACGAAGTTCAAAGGTGAAGAAGAAAAGCATCGCTTCCAATCAGTCTTTCGTTACATGGATTCCCGCACTGAGGGCAAGATCACCGTCAAAGATTGGACGAACCTGAAGGAGGTGGAAGAGGAGCTATAGCACAGAAATACCCTGTCCAACATTGTGTAAACATGTCTAAGCCATTCGCCCAGTCAAAGGGTATTGTTTGAATATTGTTGTTTGTTTTCTAAGGGTTTAGAAGGGATGAATTAGTCAGAGCTGTGCACAAGAGACACCGTTGAAGAGTCCTGGCTTTTCACAGTTTCAGCTGTTTGCCTGACATGGTGGCAAGTTTGAACAAACCCAAAAGCATGCATGTTTGGTCAAGTAATGTCAAGTGTATGTATGCGTGTATATATATGTGTGTGTGTACAGTATGTTTTTTGGGCCAAGCCCAAGGATTGCCGAAGAGAATACAGTAACATTTGCATGTTTAGCTTGTCGATGTGTCCCATCCTAAGGAAAGCAAACTGTGTCACTCATTTTGCACTTAGTAGCTACTTGACTAGACTAAACTGTGGACAGCAGCAGCCCAATCACTGCCGATGAAGTCGGCTCGATCTTCCACCAAACAAGATCTTTCAATGTTCTTAAATGTTTGAAAGCTATGGATACAGCAGATATTGGGAACGATAATTCACTGTCCCAACCATCCGCTGTCAATGCTTGACGACAAGTGGAACCCTTGAACTGAAACTGAACTCAGATACTTTCATTTAGTGTATTTTTATGATTGTTTATGTACGATTATGTACGTATGTATTTGGAACGTATGTTTTGTCAGATGTTGTAAGCCTCGCGGCTTGAAGATCTCCCCCTGAGGAGATTTGTTTGTCTGTGAAGGAGGTCTTGTCATTTTCTTGCCGGATGTTTGGCGATCCATCAAATGCTTGGACTGTACTCAGCGATGGCCGCGAAACTCTCTCGCTTGCAGAATGGGAAGAGGCATGGGATAGCGTGGGATATTATGGAAACGTGACTGAGGTCTTCCGCTTTTTACAGGATGATACTGCAAGTTGGAGTGCAGACGAGTTTGCTCAGATGCAAAAGCCACTTGGTTTCAACGCTAGCATTCCGCACGACATGTTGAATTTTAGAGTATCCTAGCAGGTTGTCTTGTAGCTAGAGATGGTTCTTGCTGCAAGAATAATGTACAGTACGTAATCATATCTTGTCAAGCACTTCAAATTAGAAGGTCTCTGGAAATATCAAATGTTGGCTTTGCTCTCTCCGACATGGAATTTGTTGGATGTTGCTCGCCTTTACGGCAAGTTGGCTTCCATTCAAGGCTCCAAGGCTTTCGAGACTCCATGTCAGAGTGAGACCCTGCTCAAAGAGCAGTTCGTCAGCTCATTGCAGAACTATCAGTACACAGCAGCATTTAGTGGATCTATCATGTTCTATCATGCTCTATCCAGGTTTTCCGCTTCGGCGATTGTTCCGATGCAATTAAACAGCTTATACGATCTTATGCGGACTCTTCTCGCAACCAGAAGAATTGAAAGACGTGAAGGGTCTGCTAATGTCATCCAATGTCTATAGTTGGATTATCATGGATTGTCTACACAGCAAATGCCCAATGTGTACTGCGAAGAAGTTGGCAGTGTGGTTTCACTGCAGAAGCTGCACTGAAGATGTATCACAATGAATCACAACGATTCACAACGTGTCAAAAGTCTCGTTGTATCACGTTTTATCTCTGCCACTGTCCTGAGGCCACTGGTTGAGAATTAGAGAGGTTTAAGTCGAAATCAAGAGATGGTGATCGGACAGCTATGGTCGAAAATTGAGGCAAAAGCCCAGCGATTTATGGCAGATGTCCAAAGATCAGAATTCTTGCCCTTGAGCACAGAGGCATCATCACCGTCAGTCTTTGCATGAAGCTTATAAATCGACTGACATGGTTTGGAATGGTTGTTTTGATTTGCTTCAACTTCGTGCTGAACTGGTGCATTTGGTGCATTGATAGAGCTTGGTATAGCAACACAGCCAAATCAAAATCATAAGTCTGAAACTTGAGAAGAGCCATTCTCACAAGTTTAAAGCGGCACAACACAAGTAGCCGGGCATCCGCAGCATTACGCAGCCATGCGCAAGCAATCTGAGAAAAGGATCTGTCGAGCATTTTGGATGATTCTTCAGAAAACTGGCTAAGAATATTGAAAGGGTGCTGCCGCAAAGAACGGCCAGGGCCCTGAGGTCGAAGATACTTCTTGCATCCTACCACGCCATGTGGCAAAAAGGCACGGAGCAAATCCACGCACATATCATGTTTATGTTTAAGTGAATGACTCTTTTAGCACAGCCCCTAAGATTTGTAGGTTGTTATCATTATCTACGATTGTGAAAAAGCATTGGCAGGCCATCTATGAAGGACTATGAGGGTGCTGAAAGAGGCTTTGAAATGCTTTCAACATGTTCACATTTTGGGAGGGCGCATGCCAGAACAAACATGAACAAACAAAATCTTGGCAAACGATCGACTAGGACTACCTGCCTTGACCACTGACATGTTTTCTTCATTCGGTAGCCCGATTCCTTTCTGGGTTTGTCGATCTCAGGCAAATGCTTGCGCTGTGCAGAGCAGGGACTTGAATGCTGCGAGTTCGTGGTCCACACGGAGATAGAGGGTGAGGACAGACACTGAGAATATTCGGAAACAGTTTCTTTTGTGACCGCGCGATACGGCACGATTTGACAGTTAATAACGGCATTGAACAGTACGGAGGCTTGCTTGGTGCTGTCTTGCAGGCTCTTACGATCTTGAAGTATTTTGAGAATGTTTCGTCCTGATTAGTGTAAGGCCCCCCCCTCAACAATAGCTATACCCTCCTTAAAGTTGGGTGCCAAAAAGTTGTTCCCCAGGAAAAAAACACACTTAAGTAAGGATTTCAATTGGCTACAATTGAAATCTAATCAATTAAAACTATGTTTTTTTTAAGTGTAATGGCACCTCAGAGACTTACAGGCTCAGACAGAGGGCTGAGACAAGAAAAGAGCTCAGCTTACCTGAGCAAAAGCTTGACTGAGCCACAGAGTTTTTGAAGAAAAGAGTCTGCCTCAGTAATTACATGTGTTTTTTTCAAAAATAATTGCTTCCCAAGATTTCTTGCCACAATAGCGAACCTAGCTACTAATCAGGATACAACATTACTCTTGATCACAAATGCTTTGAAGGATGATGATGATGAATTGGTGAACTTGTCTCAGGAGGACTGCCTGCATGTGTGATCTTGTCGGCACAGATGTCTGTAGCATTGCTGGGCTGCCCAGGTTTACAGGCAGAGGCCACTGCTGCCTCGATCTCAGTGAGTTCTATGATACTCCATATTTCTGACCCCAAAGGCACTCGATTACAGATGAGAACTTGATGAGATGAAAAGGATTGAAAAGGATTGAAAAGGCACCATCTGTGTGCGTCGATGAATATCATCGAGGCCAAGTTTACAAGCACGTTTGGCTTCAGCGTGATGCACTCAGTCGGCACTGCAGCAATTGGATAGCTTGAGCCGATGTATTTTGTTTGTTTGTCGCTGTTTGTGGGTAAAGTTCCGTGCAGTTGCAACTTGCAAGTTGCAACTTGCAAGTGTATGTTATATTTTGTTACTATGTTCGATTTTGATTTATTTTGTTTGTTTCGCCGTTTTCGCACAGTTTACCGTTTACGGAGACAAGTGAACTAACTGGCTTGAATTGTCCTGGCTGAGAGCATGAAGCTTTCAAGCCAGGCATCCAAAGTTAGAGGCAAGACCGCAAGACTGACGCAGAGATGCAGAGATCTCATCGGACGTTGTCCATGCTGTTGATTCTGTTCATAGTTCTTCATAGCTGTTCGACGTTGTTCTATTGCACAAGTTCTTCTATTTTGAAACCTTGGGGTTGAGATCCCAAAGCATCCCAAAGCAGTTCATGTGATACCTGCACAACGCCAAGCACTGTGACGGGCAGATGGCTGGCTTCGCTCCCCTCCAGAATTGAGTTGAAATTCCACTGAATTTGGCCATGTAAAGATGATAAAGATGTGTATGCTGACTTTGTTGAGCAGGCAGCTGACATGTGTGGCAACTGCGGTTGTGGAGTGATGGACCATGAGGTCACAACTGGCAGCACGAAGGAAACTTCTTCAGCTTCTGTCACGTTTGTTTTGCCCGTTCTGTTTGTCCCTGTTTCAACATGTTTCGACAAGGCAATCATTGAAACCGTTGACGGATGTTGACGGCTGTTCTGTGACTTGCTCAGAGGTCACTCCCATCACTCCAGAAGAAAGCCAAGTCTTGGACGTAGAAAACTCAGAACCCTGCGATTGGGATGTATCTTGGAAACAGCTTCAGCTTGATCTTCCAAGCATTGCATCTCCACCGTGTTTGGCGGGTTGATATTGTGTGTTTGTGCAGGTTGTAGAACCAAGCCGAACGAAACCTGAACAGGGGATAACATGGGTATATAGATGCAACATGTTTGAACTCAGGTGGCAAGGGGCTTGTTTTATCCATTCGTGCTGGCCTTAGAGTTTTGTGATGCAACACTTGAAAAAAGTCTGAGCTCAGTGTGTACTTCATTCGACTACTGGGTTACCAGCTGTACAATAGATCGCCCAAAACCACTGTAGATACTGTCCAGATACTGTCCAGCCTTGTTTCATCACTGCGCTTCCAGGACCTCAGATTGTGCATCAAGCAGAGCTACAAAGATACTGCCTGCCTGGGACTAGAAAGAGACGGTTTCACTTATGGTGAAGCAGGGGACTCAAGCTGCAACCTGTCATGACGGCTGGATAAACGGCTCAGACATGGTGTGAAGACTATCGGAATCAGAAGCGGTCAAGGATTGTAGGACAGTACTTCCATGAAGCTCTCTTTGATCGAAGGAAGATTAGAAGTCAAACTTCCGACAATATGGAGAGATGGAAAAGCAGAGGTGGGAAGAGTCAGAGAAGAGAAGAAAAGAAGAAAGAAGATCAGAGAAGAGAAAGAGTCAGATCGAAAGAAGATGCAGGGAAAAGGTAGAAAAGCCGCAAAACACTGCGTTTTTCCCCACATCTTTGTGTGGGGTTCTTGTTTTTGAGTCTGTATCCCGTCCCGCCTCCGCCCCGCCGCCTCCGCCTCCGCCTCCGCCTCCCTCAACTTGGTCACACACCATTTGTCACATACAACTTTGTCACACACCATCTTTCACACCCCTCTTTGTCACACACAACTTTGTCACACCCCTCTTTGCCACCCACAACTTTGTCACACACCGTCTTTCACACACAACTTTGTCACACACCATCTTTCACATACACAACTTTGTCACACACCATCTTTCACGCACAACTTTGTCACACACAACTTTGTCACCACACACAACTTTGTCACCCACGACTTTGTCACACACTATCTTCGACACACAAATTTGTCACACGCCTCTTTGTCACACACCATCTTTCACACACAACTTGGTCACACAAAACTTTGTCACACCCCTTTTTGTCACCCACAACTTTGTCACACACAACTTTGTCCTACACCATCTGTCACACACACACAACTTTGTCACACACCGTCTTTCACATACACAACTTTGTCACACATCATCTGTCACACACAACTTTGTCACACACACACACACCATCTTTCACATACACAACTTTGTCACACACCATCTTTCACATACACAACTTTGTCACACAAAACTTTGTCACACCCCTCTTTGTCACCCACAACTTTGTCACACACCATCTTTCACACACAACTTTGTCCGTCACACACCGTGTTTCACATACACAACTTGGTCACACATCATCTGTCACACACAACTTTGTCACACACAACTTTGTCCTACACCATCTGTCACACACACAACTTTGTCACACACCGTCTTTCACACACAACTTTGTCACACACCATCTTTCACATACACAACTTTGTCACACACCATCTTTCACACCTTCGTTTTGCGTGGCAGGCGTGGCGCTTGGCGACATCCACCTTCACTTTGCTTGGCAGGCGTGGCACTTCACGACATCCACCTTCGTTTTGCGTGGCAGGCGTGGCACTTACGGCACTGGGCTGTGGGCGCCGCTTGGGCGCCGCTGGTCGCCGGTGACACCTATGGTCATCTGTCACCCCGTTGACCGGTGGAAGCACTTGCATCGTTTAGTTGTGCGTCACTGTATACTGTATACAATCTTTCACACGCATAATTGTGTCAGACACATCTTTCACACACAACTTTATCCCACTCAACTCTTCACATACAACTTTTTTAACTTATCGATCCTCCACCACCTCCTTTGTCTTTCCTTACTTCCCCGTCCCGCTACAACTTTTGTTTCTCATTATTGGAAGAAGTCGACTTGTGGGGTTATTCGGTCCTTTAATCCAATGATTTGTGGCTCCGGAGGATCGAAAAGTAGGCTCGCTAAAGCGGCGGTGCGGAGCCGTCTGGGGAGATGAGAGATGAAAAATTGCACGCCCCATCCTTTAGGCAAGGGGTTGTCTCTGCAACTTGTGCCCCTCCGGTAACATCATCCATATTTGAGTCTTGAATTTGTCTTCCATGTACCTCCCCACTGACGTTTTGATTCCTCAAGGATTTCTCTTGTACCCCCAGGGCACCCCCTAAAGAATCCATGGGTCAGGGTGAGACGCTGAATTCAAAGGGGGATATTCTAGATGTTTGAGAATCTTTTGGATGGTTTGGTTGCTCGGGCTTCCATTGTGGAGCAAAAGAGAAGACTGCATCATGATGCAATGTATAGATGTATTCTTCAAACTGTTGGTTTTTAGTTTCACGTGTGTCAAATCATATCAACATACATCAACACTGTTTTGACAGGACGTTGGGGGTTGAGGACATGTCAATGCCCAGATGCTGTTGAAGATCAGGTCGGGCTGCTTTCGTTCCTCCGCTTGCTGGATCGTGACTAGACCTCAGATGTCTTTTGGGATGTTCTGATGGGCCCACATCGTGAGACACGAGGCGAGGCAGGCACGGAGGCATCTAGCAGCAGACACAAGTTCTTGGATGTTCTTGGCAAAAGTGACTCTTAGCACAGAGGTCATGTCACTCCAGGAGGATTTCAAGCAGAATGGTCTCCAGGTCAATAACACCCAGGCATGTTGACAGATGGGCTGACATGCATTTGATGTCTCTTGATACGCTTTGAATATCTTTTGATATGCTCTTGCTTTTGTGCTTTCGCTCAGTTGGATTGGGCCTTTCAATCTCTACCTGAAGCGGTTCCGGATTGTGGCAGGCAAAGAACCGCGGTGTTTTTTACGACTTGGGTTGTGGTGCTGGCAAGGCGAGAAAAACCGGGTTGGATTGTTGCTTTCTGCTCATGTTTTCATCGCAGCGCAGCAGTTTCGGGCAAATATGGCATCGCTGCGACATCGTGATATCGCGTTTACTTCTGGGTGTTGTTTCTTTGGGGTTGGTTTTACGGTTTTTTATGGTTTCACCAGGGTTTCCTTTAGGGCTGGTTTAAGGTTTCTTGGGGGTTGGTTCAGGATTGTTTCAGGGTGTATTAGAGTGGGTGGTTTCAAGGTTGGTTTAGGGTTTCCGCAGGGTTTCCTCATAGTTTGTTTTAGGTCCATTTTAGGGTTTATTTACGGTTGACTTAGTGTTGGTTTGGGTTTATTTAGGCTTGGCCTAGGGAATTTTAAGGGTTGGTTTAGTAGTAATCTAGGGTTTTGTCAGGATTTTTCCCCAAACAGGGTGTCCACACTGAGGGTTTCTTACGGTAGCTGTACAGGCAGGTGCATGATCAGGGTGCTCACTCTGGGCCCCGGCTTTTTTCCTGTAAATTTCCGTATAAAGTGGCGCTTGTGACATGTTGATGTGCATTTCGACTGCGCAGGCTCGCACAAAGTGTGGTCCTAGCTTCTGGTCTGCGGCAATTTGCCTTTAAATTCCCATATGAAGCGGCTCTTCCCTGATAGACCAATAGACCCTTAAAAAATTAGACCCTTTTATTAAGAAAAATTAGACCCTTTCTTTGTTTTTGGAGTACGGGTCTATTTTTTTTAAGGTGGCTAGGGGAGGATGGTGAGGAAGCCACCCTGTGCTTTGATTCTTTTTTTAAAAATCAATATATTTTTTTTTTGAAAGTATTTTTTGTTCAGTTTGTTTTTCTAAAATTGGAAAGAGGTGCACTTGGTTGGTTGGAGCTGGCAGTTGGGCTGTGTCTATTTGACCTTTGCACTCACTCAGAAAACCAGCATGTGTATGTCCATGATTTTTTCAGCATCAAGGTAAATGTGTTAGCCATGGCAGATCAGCATCTGGTGGCAGCTGTGAAAGCCTTCAGGAATTGCTCTCCTGGTGGCCCTGAATCCCACAAGTTTTTGGTAGCAGATCCTATCCAAGTATTTAAGAAATAAATGAATATCTATATCTATACCTATAAATGTATATATATATATATCTATCTATATATATATATATCTATCTATCTATATATATATGTATGTATATCTAGTAGCTGAACGATAAATACATTTGCAGTGGGCTCTCACCTGGCCCAGGCAGGCAATGCAGATGTGGATTCTGCCAGCCAACAACCTGATGCTGGTGCTGCTGAGCGGCCTGCTTCCAGTGGCATTTCAGCAGAGGCAAAGGCAGCTGCAGAGGAAGAATCCAGGAAGAGAGCTGAGAATTATGAGAAAGCACAACAAGCTCAGAAGCGCAGAATGGCTGAGCAGGCTGAGGCAAAAGCTAGGTCTGAAGCCAAAGCTAGGACAAGCACACCTCCAAAGTATGTGCAGCCTAAGCCGATGCCAGCAAAGTCTGGGCCTGTTCCAAGTAAGGCTAAGCCTGTGCCAGCGAAACCGATGCCAGCACCACCACCTATGCCTAAGCATGTGGCTTGGTTCCTAGCAAATTCGACTGTTTCTGTGGAGGAGCTGCCTCCAGAATTGGAAAGCCTGCCACCAAAGGCAAAAGCTTTGCCACCCCCAGCTACCAGGGGGGCAGCTGAAGCGAAAGCATATGCAGCTGCTGTAAGTAGACAGGTGAAAGGATGGCACTTGCAGCCCAAGACGGGTTAGACAAATCCACAGAGATGAAATCTTCCAGAAAAAACTGGCTCCAGCATTGACAGCTAAAAATCAACATGCCTGATTGCACATATTTAATTGATTATTTCTAGGGGTCTACCTAGGGATGACTATCCACGTGCAATCAGGGATGTTGGTCACAGACTGCATTTGCACACATAGATAAAACATGATATGTATTTTATGCATGCCGTGTATATGCATTCAGTTATTTTTATCTACAGCCACATATATATATATATATATTTCAATACATCATAGCATAGAAAGTCCTGGGGAGGAAAGGGGAGGTTCAGGACTCTCAAAATTTCATATTCTGACATTTGTCTGACCAGTTTTTCCTTTCACAGTTTTTTTTAATTGTGAAAATCCAGCCAGTCAAAGTTAACTCAAGTTAACTCAAGTTAACTCTAAGTTAACTCAAAGTTAACTAAGTTAACTTAAGTTAACTCCCTTTAAATCTAATTTAAAATTAACAAAGTTAACTTAAGTTAACTCAAGTTAACTTAAGTTAACTCAAGTTAATTCTGCTAAGTTAACTCTAGTTAATCCCAGAAAATTCTGCAAAGTATTTTTTTTAATGTTTTGCCTTTGACTTTCCAGATTGACATGTTTTGCTGATTCAGTGAGTTGCACCTGAAGATGCTCACAGCTCTGCATTGCAATCAGTCATGAGCAGCCAAACTCAGAGATGTTCAGCTTTGAAAAAATCCTGGAGTTGCCTTGAGATTTTTTTTTGGCAATCGTTCTTTGCCAGCTGTTTTTCTCAAGTGCCTTTGTAAGCAGGCAACTAAATTTAGTTCTTGTGAGAACAATGGGCAAAGCTGCTGCCAAGCCTAAGACTGCTCCTGGCAAGGATGTGGTGAAAAAAGCTGCCAAGAGAGTTAACAAGGCAGCAGCTGCTAAGTCATCTGCGAAGGCAACAGCCAAGGCAGCTGCCAAGGTGAAAGTTGAACCACCTTCTCCCCAGAGGTCTCCTCGCGTTGAGGAGATTGTTCCTGTGTCCCAAGCTGCTACTGTCGACAAGAAGGACATCAGCAACTTCTTGGGCCAAATGAAGAGGGCAAATTCAGATGATGCTGTGGCCTTGTACAACCACTACAAGACCCTGGGAAAGTTCGATGCACAAAAGCAGGCTTTGGTTGCCAAGTGGAAGGCTGACAAGAGTTGCAAGTGGTACAGCAGCTACTCTGAGTCCTTTGAGAAGACCAGTGCCTCCAAGAAGCAGGGTGCTGTTGGCTGGTCGACAAGGCCAGCTGGGGACCAAAGTTTGTTTTTTCCACTTTTATTGCTCATCCCTCTTCCCTCCTCAGGTGGGAAATTGCCAATGAGATGCATCGAAATCCAGGCTCACCATCTTTCAAGGAACTTTTGGACACTTTGGAAAGCAGCTCTGAGAAGTGGGATGAGTCTTTGCCGCAAGAAAAGTTCCTCAAGGACAAAGGTGAGAAGAAGTACTTCTGGTCTAGTGCCAGTGGTTTGGCCAAGTTTGAAGAAGTTGAGAAGCACAGCGAAGAGTTCTCTTCCAGCGTGGGTGGCTACGACTCCAAAGGTGGCAAGCCCAAGGCTGAGCTTGCTCTAGCATTTGACAATCCAAGTATGAATTGGGTATACAGGGATGAAGAAGCAGGTGGCACACTGGCTCGGTTGGGTAGAAGCAAGGGCAACCTGCAAACCCCTTGGTCTGTGTCAATTAATGTTCTGCAAAGATTTGCTGCAGAGTTTTCTGTGCCTGCTTTTTGAAAAAAGAGCTGCTGCCATGCACCTGAAAAGCAAAAACTTAAAGTGCACCTCTTCCAATTGGAAAAACAAAAATATGTTCTTTCCTTTAAATCAGCTAGGGGGAGGAAGGGAGGATCAAAAATAAAAAAAAATCCAAAATATATTTTTAAAACAAATTTAATCTTTAAAACGTATTTTACAAAACAAAAAAAGGCCAGAGGGAGGATGGAAGGAAAAAAAGTACAGGTCTAATAAAAAATAGACCTGTACTCATTGAAAAAAAAGTTTAGGACTATAGTCTGAACTACAGGCTTAAAGCCCTTAATCCAGACTATTGGTCTATCAGGGTTGTGACATGTGTTGAAGTACATTTCGACTGCGGAGGCTCGGCAAAGTGTGGTCCTAGCTTCTGGTCTGCGGCATTTTACCTGCAAATTTCCGTAAAAAGTGGCCCTTGTGACATGTTGAAGTACATTTCGACTGCGGAGGCTCGGCAAAGTGTGGTCCTAGCTTCTGGGCCGTGGCTTCATCATCACCATCATCATCATCATCACCATCATTTTCCTCCTCAACATCATCATCCTCCTCTTTCTCTACATCATCATCCTCCACTTTTTCATCCTCCACTTCATCTTCCGCATTATCAACATCATCGTCATCATCGCCATCACCATCATCATCTTGATCATGACCATCATCATCATCATCATCATCATCATCATCACCATCGTCACAATCATCATCATCATCATCACCATCATCATCATCATCATCATCACTACCACCACCATCATTCATCCTCCTCGCCATGATCACCATCATCATCCTCACCATCATCACCATCATCACCATCATCATCATTACCATCATCCTCGTCGTCGCCATTATCACCTTTCATCCTCAACATCATCATCTTCCTCCTTCTCTACATCATCCTCGACTTTTTCATCCTCGACTTCATCTTCCTTATTATCAACATCATCATCCTCATCATCCTCATCATCTCCATCATCACCATCGACATCACCATCACCATCATCATCACCATCAACATCATCATCCTCGACAACATTATCCTCTACACGATCACCATTCTCCTCATCATTATCACCATCATCATCAACCTTGCTCGCATCATGATCCTCCACCTTATCATCCTCCACTTCGTCTTCGGCATTATCATCCCCATCCTCATCCTCATCCTCAGCCTCCTCAACACCATCATCCTCCACATCATCCTCCTGCACCTCATCATTCTCAATATCATCATCCTCAGCATCATCTCCCGCAACATCACCATCATCATCATCATCATTATCATCATCATCATCACCATCATTATCAATCATCATCATCCTCAACATTATCCTACATTATCCGCCCACTCCCCGCACACTGTTTGGGGTCTCTTGCCGGGATATTTTTAAAGGTTGGTTTGGTGTTTCTTTCGGGTTGGGTTAAGATTTCTTTAGGATTGGTTTAGGTTATATTTAGGCTTGGTTTAGGGTATGCTCAGGTTTGGTTTCGGTCTTTTGTCTGGTTGGTTTTTTTTCGGGTTGGTTTAGCGCTAATGCAGGGTTTCGTCAAGGTTTGTTTTAGGGCCTTTTTTGGATTTACTCAGTGGTCTTGGTATGTTTTCTTAGGCCTCGTTTAGGGTTTATTCAAGTTTTGCTTCGGGTTAAATTAGGGTTTCGTCACGGTTTGTGTGAGGGTTGGTTCAAGGTTTCTGTCGGGTTTGTTTTAGGGTTTATTTCGGCTTGGTTTATGGTATATTCAGATTTGGTTTAGGTTTTATTTAGGGCCGGGCTGGTTTAGGATTAATGTAGGGTTTCGTCAAAGTTTCGTTTAGGGTCTAATTATCATTAATAATCTTTGGTTTACTTAGTGTTGGTTTGAAGTTTTTCTAGGCTTGGTGTAGGGTTTATTCAGGTTTGGCTTAAGGCAAAATGAGGGTTTCATCAGGGTTTGTGTGGGGGTTGGTTTAGGGTTTCTGTATGGTTTGCTTAATGTTCATATATTTAGTTTTGGTTTGGGGGTTCTTCATGGCTGTGGTAAGGTTTCTTTAGGTTCTGTCTAGGGTTGAATTATGCTTCCGTAGGGCTTGTTTGAGGGTTTGTTTTAAGGTTTGTTTGGGGTTTACTTAGGATTGGTTTAGGAGGTTTATTCGAAGTTGGTTTGGGGGTTCTTTAGGGTTGGTTCAAGATTGTTTCAGGGTGTATTAGGGTCGATTTAGGGTTGGTTTAGGGTGTTTTAAGGTTTCCTCATGGATTGTTTTAGGGTTTATTTAGGGTTGACTTCGTGCTGGTTTGGGTTTTATTTAGGCTTGGCCTAGGGTTTAAAAGGGTTGGTTTAGGGTTTAGGATTAATTTAGGGTTTCGTCGTTTTTTTTTGGGGGTTTGTTTGGGGATTATTTAGGTTTGGCCTCGGGTTTTTTGAAGTGTTGGTTTAGGATTAATTAATCTATTGTTTCGCCGGGATTTGTTTTAAGGTTGGCTTGGGTGTTATTTCGGGTTGGTTTAGGGTTTGTTCAAGTTTTGTTTAGGGTTAAATTAGGGTTTCATCAGGGTTTGTGTGAGGGTTGGTTTAGGGTTTCTGTAGTTTTTTTTGGGGGGGTTATTTCGTCTTGGTTTGGGTTTTATGGATGGTTGCTTTAAGGTTTCCCTGGGTTTGGTTCAGGGTCGAATTATGCTGTGGTCAGGGTTTGTTTGTTTTAGGGTTGATTTAAGATTTACTTAGGTTTCCCTCAGGGTTTGTTTAGGTTTTGGTAAGGGTATATTTAGGTTTGGTTTCGGGTATATTTAGGCTTCGTTTAGGGCTGATTTGGGGTTAATGCAGGGTTCCGTCAGGTTTTGTTTTAAAGATGGTTTAGGGTTTAGGGTTGGTTTAGGGTTGAAGTAGGCTTTTGTCAGGGTTTGCTTTAGGGTATATTTAGGGTTTACTTAGTGTTGGTTTGGGGGTTCTTTAGGGTTGCTTTTGGGTTCCTTGAAGGACTGTTTGTTGATTTTGCTATTGGCGGACCATTTTCCCATGGTTTCCTTGATCCTCCTTCCGGCTTTCAGTGGTGACTGACTCTTTGTTGTTGACGTTCTGTTTTCCCCAGGGTTCCTGGATTTTCCTGCAAGGGGTGACCGACTCTTTGTTGTTGACTTTCTGTTTTCCTCCGGGGTCCTTGATCCTCCTCCCGGCTTCCGGGGGATGACTGACTCTTTGTTACTGACTTTTCGTCTCCCATTCATGGTCTCTCTGCGTCCTGTGCTGGTGTGCAGCGGTGACTGACTTTGTCCTATGGGGTTCCTGACTCGGACGTTTGGGGTGACTGACTCGGGTGACTGACTCTGTTTTTGTCCCTGTTTTTCATGTCAAGATCCTTCCTTGGGTCATCGCTGTTCTTTCTTGATTTTGAAGAGCCACAGACATGTACACCAAACAGGGGGACATTTGGGGCCAGTTGGGAACACTTGGGGGCGCTTCATGAAAATTGATCCAATGGGTAGGAAAGATCTGAAACGCTGGATCATATTTTACGAATGTGTAAGTCAACGAACATCCATGATGTATTTGCGATCAGTTAAGAATATATAATATGTAGCCGTCATATAATGTTAATTGTTATATAGTCATACACGAGTCATATGGTCGCAGTGCTACTCAGCCATGCTTGGCTGTTTGCATCCACGGGTCGATCCTGTGGCCTGAAGGCTCTGGTACTAGCAGCTCTTCATCGCATTGGCTTTGATCGATGTGTAGGCGACCTTCACCTGGATCCTCGTTGCTTCAGTTGCTCATCGAATCTCTGCCAACCGTGTGCGGCAAAGGTTTGTTCAGCAAAGGGCACCCTGTTTCTCCGGTGTTTACTTGTGGGATCTTGTGGGTGAGCTCAGGATTAAAATTGATAAAACATTATTAAACCAAAAAGGGCTCCTGGTTAAACACTTACTGTGTAGTCGGCAGTCCTCATCACTGACTTGCTACTTGCTGCTCAGCACTTATGAGAATTTTGTCATTGGCAATGATCCTTTCTTTCTACAGTCCACAGCAGGTAATGGGGCTGTGCACCGAAATTTATGTTGTATCTCAGTGCAACAGGCAGTGCAACAGACAATGCAACACACGATTGCCAAATGCCGAGTTACAATGATTCTAAGCTCTTGAAGGTAAAGACTATTGCGTGTTTTTCGGAGTTGTAAGACTTTGCTAGCTTTAGTCACTGCTTGCATGATGCTCAACGTCAGTTGTCCTGACGATTCTGCAGTCTTGCTCGTTTGTGTACATTTTTCAATTCCTCGTACCTTAGTAGAATTCTTGTAGCTTCAACAGCTGCTGGTTTGTGCGTGTAGGTATTGCTGCATGACTATTATTCTTCAAGTTTATTCCAGCTCAGTATATTCCCAGTTTGTGCCAGCTTCTGGAAAACTTCTCTGTTTGATGTGTTTTTGCTTTATCCTAAAGGCATCTCTGATGCTTGGGTCCTGGTTTTGTTTAGCGGACTTTTTGCTGGTGTAGTTGATCTGATCGAAGGAAGTTTAGAAGTCAAACTTCCGACAATATGGACAGATGAAAAGCAGAGCAGGGAAGAGGCAGGGAGAAGAGAAAGATTAGAAGAAAGAAGAGTAAGAAGAAAGAAGATGCAGATGCGCGAAAAGGTAGGAAAGTCGCGAAACACTGTGTTTTTCCAATGATTTGGGGCTCCGGAGGGTCGAAAAGTAGGCTCGCTAAAGCGGCGGCTGCGGAGCCAGCTGGCCAGATGAGAGATGAAAAATTGCACGCCGTTGTGGCGCGAAGCACATTTGCAAGTCAACATGTTCAAAACACCTCATGTGTCGGACCACTTTTGGAAGTTCAGATGTCGAAAAAGTGCACGCCATTGTGGCGCGAAGCACATTTCGAAGTCAAAATGTTCAAAACACCTCAGTGTCGGACCACTTTTGGAAGTTCAGATGTCGAAAAAGTGCACGCCGTTGTGGCGCGAAGCACATTTCGAAGTCAAAATGTACAAAACACACCATGGTCGGAGCACTTTTGGAAGTTGAGATGTCGAAAAAGTGCACGCCGTTGTGGCGCGAAGCACATTTAGAAGTCAAAATGTTAAAAACACTAGGGGTTCGGACCATTTTTGGAAGTTCAGATCTCGAAAAAGTGCACGCCGTTGTGGCGCGAAGCACATTTGGAAGTCAAAATGTTAAAAACACTAGGGGTTCGGACCACTTTTGGAGGTTCAGATGTCGCTTCACTACACTACATTACATTACACTACACTACACTCCAGTACACTAATTACACTACAGGACATTACACTACACAACAGTCCAGTACACTACACTACACTACACTACAGGACATTACACTACACAACACTACATTACACTGAATGACACTGCACCACAGATAGACAGATAGATAGATAGATAGACAGACAGACAGATAGATAGATAGATCGGTAGGTAGGTAGGTAGATAATCAGAGAAAGATAGAGAAACAGAGAGAAAAAGAGAGAAAGAGAGGGAAAGAGTGAAAGAGATCAAGCACCTTTCGGTCCATCAGTGGCTTCGCTCTGCCATCCCTGATTCACAACAACCAATCTCTCCTATAGGTTTCCTATTTTTGAAACTTCCGCCACCGCCTTGTGCGGTACTACTGGTAGTCACCATCAACCTTACCAGAGATTTGCTCGGTTGTTGCTTTGCCTTTTTGATCCTTTTTGAATCCTTTCGAATCTTTCTGATCATTTTGCCTGCACAGAAAAGTGTGTACACGTAGTATAGGCATACTGCTTCCTCGCTTCCAGCAAATCATTCCCTTTTCACTTGATGTCATGTGCAGTTTGCGACAACCTTCTTCGAACCGCTTCTCAAGACTCAGCAGTCTCTTTGTTCGTCCCTCATGTCATGGCACCACTGCATCAATTTATCCATATTTGAACACCTTTACTTCTCTAAGTGTTAGCCAAGTTTACATGCTTTAAAATGCTTTAGCGTATTTTACATGGTTTCGGAAAGGCTGGAAAGCAAGCAAATTGGTTGATTTTTCATGTTTGTTCGCTTTGTTTATTCTATCACCGTTTGGAGGAGTGGAGCTGCTTCCTGGCCTCGCAACTGCTGCACGAGTCCTTGCCGAGCAGTTCAACCGACAAAACTCCAAGGAACCTTCTGGGCACTCGATTCCCACATGTTCCCAGATTTCCATAGATTTCCCCATATGTCCAGCTTATGAACGTTCGTTCGGGTAATGATACCTCACATTTGAATCAGGTCTTGAAAGAAGTTAAAATATGTCAAAATTTAAATCGCAAGAGCTCTTGATTTCATAAACTCATAAACTGAATCACCAAAAAGTTCACTCTCCTAGCTAACCATCTCCCCCAAGAATTACTGTAACTCACACATTGACTCAGCTCCAGCCCAGAGCGTGGCTGAGTCAGTACAGTAAAACACGCGGTCACCATGGGCTGACTACCGAACTTGGTTAACCCACGACTTGAATAGTTCACTACTTGTGGTGAACAAATACTTGGCAACCAGCTAGCTAGCAAAAGACCAAACTGAATAATTACGATCAATTGGGTAACTTGGTCGCTAACTGATCAACCGCAACAGACCAAACATATGCAAGCAATTCCAAACATGCATTATGGATCATTATGGATCATTATGGAATATTATGGCATTGTATAGCCCTTCCTCGTCGAATAGAATCTTTGCTGTTGGAGCATCGGACTTGGCTCGCCTTCAAATGCTACTACCTCTCAGATTGCTTTCGAAGGCGACCCAAACATAAAGAAATCAGATCCAAACGGATCCGTTTCATGTTTCGTGCCAGAACCGTGCCAGAAAGAACTAAAGAGTTTTAAAATGCCAATGCTTTTGCGGAATGATTTGGATACATTGCGACACATTAAGAGCTTCCAGGCCCCACTGCAGATTGTGGAAGGGGACATGGAGAAGGCATTGGCCGGATCGCAGATTGGGTCCTACAGCATTTTTCAGAAAGGTTTTCGTACGCTAGGATCTGTCCAATCTGATGACTGGTGATGCTTCAAGATGTTGCAAAGTGTTGCAGATATTTGAACATCTAGAACACCATGTGTGGGCAAAATGGAGAGAATGTGATTCAGGGAAATTGCTGTTGGGCATTGTGTGCTTGCGTGTACCTCATGCAGTTGGAACAAAGAAGTGTGGCATGCGTGATGCATTTGATGCAAGCAACGGTCGTCAATGATGTCATATGTGGATCGACAAGAAGGATTGCCATGCTTGTAATGACTACAATGAGAACTTTTTATGGAATGTATGTGTACATGTGTGTTTTTCCATGTTTTTCCACGTATCCACCCACCATCCACTTGCTTGTCTCTCCAGAATCTATAGTATCTATTTGTCTATTGCCTCTCTGTACATGCCGGATCTATGTGTCCACGAACGCGTTCAACAGTATATATATATATAGTCATATAGGTCATATAGTCATAGTCGTTGTCTATGAAATCATGTAATTAGTCAAATTCAATTCTATGCAGGAAATGGAATTGGACAATGCATTGCAAAGATTGGACACTTGCTTGCTCCTACGTTTTGACCCTCATATGCGTGGAGAGGTTACTGTAGTCTCGTACCAAAGCATCACTCAGCTCCACTATGTCCTCGTGTCCTTGATATGTTGCGCTTCAGCACGACTTGCTGAGAATAGCAGAACTGTTAAATTTCGTATACATATACCCTAACTTTTGTATTGGAGGGGGGGTGTACCCCTATTTGATAATACATCAATTTGGGAAACCTGAGGAAATGTAAGGTTTCTTTTGGTATGGTATATTTAACATGATCTTTTCCTTTGTTGCCGGGTTCCTCCGCTTTACTCTTTCATTCTCTATCTTTTCCTCTTCTTTCATTATCTTGTGTTTCCTTTTTTCTCTTTTTTTCCCTGTAGTCTTTTTATGTATGTTTAACCCCTTTTCTCTTTCCATTTCATTCCATTTCTTTCCTCTCAGCCTCTTTTGTTTCTCTATGTTACTCTATCCTCTCTGCTCTCTGCTCTCTGCTCTCTGCTCTCTCTCTCTCTCTCTCTCTCTCTCCTCTACTCTATTCTTTCTCCTCGTTTTCTATTCTAGGCTGCCGGGTAATCTACTGTCAATCTCCCAGACGGAAATGGGAATCAGCTCTTCACCATTCAAAGTCTCATCCTGCAGTCAGAAGAGAGAGTGTCAGAGAAGGGAGAGTCAGAGAAGAAAGAAGATCCAAGTCGTCAAGAAGCGGGGAAGTGATCCGAATTCAGAGATGCATGATGATGCAGCTTCTTTCAACCCTAGCCACATTGCTTTCGTCTTCCCTCGGGTTTGGTACTTGGCCCGGATCCTGATTGCCATATCAGAAAGTAGTGAAGGGCGCGCAAGGAACAGCCCCCTTTGGTGTCCCTTCTGATAGGTGAGCTCAAAGGCGCCCAGGACGTCAGTACCTGTAGGAATGACAATGGCTTTCTCCTACGAGAATCACCCTTGAATTGAAGTAAATCAATTGACAATGGCTTGCTCCAACAGGGGTTATGATAGAATCCTAAATCAATTTACAATGTCCTTCTATGGTGTCTCCCACAGGGACCACCCTTGAATGCAAAATATCCTTCTATGGTGTCTCCCACAGGGATCATCCTTGAACACTAAATATCCTTCTATGGTGTCTCCCACAGGGATCATTTTTGAATGCTAAATGATTACATTTAGGATCATTTAGGTATGGATTAGCTTTGCCTTGGCTAAATCCAGTGGATTTAAACGAGGCAGAGGGAAATATGGCGAGAAAACCTGTTTTGACCTGCTGAAGAGAGGCCTGCCTTGCTTAAATCCACTGGATTTAAACGAGGCGAACTTTTCGCCTCAAAGTCTGGAATTTGGCGGGAAAAGTTCGCCTCGTTTAAATCCAGTGGATTTAAGCAAGGCAGGCCTCTTTTCAGCAGGTCAAAACAGGTTGCCTCTCCATATTTCCTTCTGCCTCGTTTAAATCCACTGGATTTAGCCAAGGCAGAGCTAATCCATACCTAAAGGTAATCATTTAGCATTCAAGGATGGTCCCTGTGGGAGACACCATAGAAGGACATTGTCGCACCCGCCGAAATATTGGAAATATATCATCATCCGGTCCTGGACCAGGTCATCATACAAAGCAATCTTCTTGAATTGATCTTCGCTCAAACGATAACGTTTGTTTGCTCGGGCATCTTCATGCCTGAGTGATATGCTCAAAGGCATCTGAAATGAGAGCCAGCACATCAAAGCTCATATACGCAGTCTTCCACATGTCTTTGCTACAAGTCGCCTGGGGCCTGACTCTTGTGGCACAGGTATGCCAAAAAACATTTGATTACATCGTCAGAGTTCACATACATGTGCTTCTACATGCCTTTGCTACAAAGTTGCCTGGGGGGCACCCCATTCGGGGCCCGAAGTTCGGGGCCCGACTCTTGTGGCATAGGTATGCCAAAAAGCATTTGATTACATCACCATCGTTCACATACATGTGCTTCTACATGCCTTTGCTACAAAGTTGCCTGGGGGCACTCTGTTCGGGGCCCGAAGTTCGGGGCCCGACTCTTGTGGCACAGGTATGCCAAAAAACATTTGATTACATCATCAGAGTTCACATACATGTGCTTCTACATGCCTTTGCTACAAAGTTGCCTGGGGGCACCCCGTTCGGGGCCTGAAGTTTGGGGCCCGACTCTTGTGGCATAGGTATGGAATAAGGACACGCTGGATTGAAACCCATGTTTGCCCCTTTTGCTGCTCTGGGATGAAGCGCGAAACCCTATCATTTAACCATACTTAGCCCTACTTAGTAATTTTAATGTATTGTTGACTGTTTTCACCCAATTTCACAGCACAGCGTCAATTCAGATGCGATTGCTTTTTGGATTGCGGCTAAATGTGAGCAGTTGTGCCTGCCTTTGCCAGGTTGCGACTCACTGTTTAGGAAGGGGCTCACGAGATCAGAATTGTGGGTAGATTCACGGACATTTAAACCCTTCCTAGCCCTACTTAGTAGTTTTAATGTATTACCACCCCCCCTCTAAAAGTAGAGTTAGACATAGGGATAATTTCGTGCTTGGTTTCAGACACGTTTCACTAAAGGCTGATGTTTGTCAGCCGTTCTGGCACAGGTAGTGGGTTTTCCCTTATGCGAACCCTCCAACTGTCTAGCAGGACCACAAAGGTTGCAACCTTGCAACACCAGCAGACTCATGTAGATTCTACATTGCTCTACATTGCAGACAGATGTAGATAGGCTTTTTGGCTTGCAAGTTCAGCTTTACCAGGTTTCGTTGGACAGCGCGACAATGGTCCTTTTGAATGCTGGGAGCTGGCAAGAGCCCGGTTTCCAAGACCTTGGGCCTTGGGGGACGGTCTCGGTGGCTCCTGAAGATAGAAGCTTTGTGAAAGTTAAATGTGTAAATGAGTAGATCGATCGAAAGCCAATGAAAGCCAGATAGTAGATCAATCAATCGTGCTTTATATATCTTTATATTGCTTTATGTTATTATATGATATTATATGCTTTTCGTTTTTTCATGTAATACTCGTCATTTAATTTGTCCCATGTGTTTCCCTTTGTTTTTCGTTTTCTTCCTCACAGAGTTTTATTGCTCAGGCCATCGCTCTCCAGACTGCGGGACAGGTTGTCAGAGGTGGAAAGTGAAGAAGTTAGAACACGAGCTGTGAAATGCTGAAATGCTGTGAAATTTGCAAATGCTGTGAATCTGTGAAGCAAAACATACACGGAGACTGCAGAGATCATACGCGGAGCACGTTGCTGTGAGATGCTTTGAGCGCTGGTCTGATATTTTGCGATATCTTGCGATCACGCCAGGTTTTGCCCGATGGAGGCGTTGTTGTAACGATACGGTATCCCTTGGCGAAGGCCCCAAGAGATCCCAAGAGCCAAACAAGATACTCGTACCGAATTGATCGGAATTGCAAAATCAGGACCACAACCATGCCATTTTTTCCCACTCAATGTAGCTTACACATGCTTACACGATCTTACACGTGTCAGGCTGGAACAGGACCTCTGGAACCAGTGGAGGCTGGCTATTCTGGTCCAACAATGTTGCATGGTTGCTGGCGTGTTTTCTCATTTTTTCTCAGTAGTCTATATACATTATTCTACATTGATGTTAGACGCGTGATGGGCTGAATTCTACCACTGACTCTGGTACTCATCATCCTGATGATGACGACGAGGACGAGGACGAGGACGACGACGACGAGGAGAAGGAGGAGGAGGACGACGACGAGGAGGACGACGAGGAGGACGACGAGGACAACGACGACGACGACGACGAGGAGGACGACGAGGACGACGAGGACGACGACGACGACGACGACGACGAGGACGAGGACGACGACGACGACGACGACGACGTCGACGGCGACGGCGAGGACGACGAGGACGACGAGGACGACGAGGACGAGAAACGTTGATGATGATGATGATTATTATTATGATTATGACGATGACGATGATGATGATGATGATGATGGTGAGATGTGGCGAGGATGATGGTGTGGATGCTGATGCTGATGATGGTGATGATGATGATGATGATGGTGATGGTGATGATGATGATGATGATGATGGTGATGGTGATGGTGATGTTTTTCCATTTGTTAATTTATTATGTTTTAAAGGGCTACACCCCCTGCCGCCGAGCCCAGGGGCTGCAGCCTCGGGGGTGGTGAGCGTGGGAGTGATAGGTCTTTCGGAGACGACTTATTTAATTGTAAGGGCTGAGAGTATCCTTTGGGATACGATCCACTGAGATTCTGTGTTTTTCGGTCTGTTGCAAACTTCTTTCTGCTTTTCAGAACAAGAGCAGGAAGAAGAGGAAGAGTAACAACAAGGGAAACAACAGCACAGAAGAACCAGAAGAAGAAGGAGGAGAAGGAGAAGAAGAAGAAGAACAACAACAACAACAAGAAGCCTGTAGTGCCTAACGTCGTTTTCTGCACCCACAAGAAACTAGCTGTCTTTTTGCTCTTGCCGCCGCTTTATCCGGCCTTCTTGCTCTTGTTTCTCGCCTTCTTGCTCTTGCTGCCCGGTGCTGGCCAACCAATCCAAATCCCGCCGCCAAGCCTCGAAACGTCCAGCTGCCAAGGCACGAAAAGAGCGGCTTCGCCACACTCAAACCGCGTGGCAGTGAAGAAGACGGAACAGGCCTCCGGGCAACGGCGTTTGGACATGCTACAAAACCCTCATGCACGCTTTGCTCACGTTTGGCAAGGTGCACAATCCCTTGCGCCATCTTGCGCCTGCCATGCGAAACGACATCTGAACCTCCAAAAGTGACCCGAGACCGTCAGTGTTTAACACTTGTGGCTTCGAAATGTGCTTCGCGCCACAACGGCGTGCACTTTTTGAACATCTCAACTTCCAAAAAGTGTTCTGAACGTGGTGTGTTTTGCACATTTGACTGCGACACGTGCTTCGCGCCACAACGGCATGCACTTTTTCAACATCTCAACTTCAAAAAGTGCTTCGAGGCTGGGGTGTTTACATTTTGATTTTGACATGTGCTTCGCGCCGCAACGGCGTGCACTTTTTCAACATCGCAACTTCCAAAAGTGCTCCGAACCCGTCAGTTTTTGACACTTTTCACAAATGTGCTTCGCGCCACAACGGGGTGCACTTTTTTCATCTCAACTTCCAAAAGTGGTCTTAGACCGTCAGTGTTTTAGACTTTTGACTTCGACATGTGCTTTGCGCCACAACGGCGCGCAACTTTTCATCTCTCATCTGGCCAGATGGCTCCGCACCCGCCGCTTTAGCGAGCCTACTTTTCGACCCTCCGGAGCCACAAATCATTGGAAAAACACAATGTTTCGCGACTTTGCTACTTTTTCGCACACCTGCATCTTCTTTCTTCTGACTCTTTCTCTTCTCTGATCTTCATTAATCTTCTCTTCTCATCTCTGACTCTTCCCACCTCTGCCTTTCGATCCATCTGTCTATATTGTCAGAAGTTTGACTTCTAAACTTCCTTCGATTATTATGACGACGATGATGATGACGAGGAAGACGATGGCGACGATGACGACGGCAGCGATGGCGACAATGCTGATGGTGGGGACGATGACAACGTTGGCGACGATGCCGACGATGCCAACGATGGCAACGATGATGACGAACGATGATGAGGAAAGATGTCGGTCATGATGTTGATGACGATGTTGATGATGATGACGACCATGATGATGCACACATCCGGCCTATAGTTGTTGCCAACTTACTTTCAATTGCATTGCCTCTCCCTTGGGTGAAATTGGTGATAAGCTTTGGCTCCAAAGACCTACGACTGAAGCAACTGTAACTATAATAGTTGAAAAGAAGCTAGAAACACGAGCGCGCGAGTGGAAGAGCAAGGGGTCTCCATTCTGGGAATTGACGCCCCTAGTTTTGCCACATATACCATCCTGCACACGTCCTACGCATTGCAAAGTTCGCAGCTTCAGCTCCAACAAGTGAATTTTAATAACCTGAAAGCTCCTTGGGACCCTTTGGAGACATCCTTTGCCGGCAAGACAATCTTCTCAGTCTTCCAGAATCCTTGAGCGTTTGTGCAAGGCCTCATCGCATGCCAGGCACTTGCTCTTCCCTCCTGAGTGTTGTAACTTGCTTGTCGTCATATTTTTCTACGTTTTGTTGTCTGCCACGGATCTTGCCAAGTGGCCATGGATACTCTATATGTCTATAAATACGTATTTATATTTACTATATATACTCTATACTCTATATACCCCTATATACTGTTATCAAAGAATACCAAAGGAAGTTTGGTTAGAAAACTTCCGAGTTACGGACGATGGCTATGCATGGTTAGCACTCACACCATCACATCAACCACATCATCATGTCAACCCCATCATGTCATCAAGTAGTTGGGAAGTGTAACAGTTCGGAAACGTGTGAACTCACTCACGGGTAAAAACACGTTTGGGACCTTTTGGGCGCGAAACCGTTCGTTTTCGCGTAATGCGGCTCCTGGGGTCGCCGAAGTGGGGTCTCTGTTTCTGCTGTTGCGGGGCTCGATCCGGGAAAGTTATCCACAAAAAGCGCGCAGGTGCAGTGACAGCCAGATTTGCATTTCAAAATGCTAAACAAGTAGTAAAAAAAATTGACGCTGCGGAGCACTTTTGGAAGATCATGTTGGCATAATGTGCGCGAGACTGTGCAGTAGCGAGAGCTCGGATTCACAAAAAAATATCATAACAAACTGGCACGCTCGGAGTAGCGCGGAATCGTCCCCCATTGTCAGCACTGCGCAAACGTTGGTCGATTTGCTGCGACGCTCCTGCTATGCGGCTTTGCAACCAGTTACGACAAAACGCATTGGCACGGCTTTGCGCAGCAAAGCATAAGTGATGCCGCAACGCTCCTGGTAAGCGCAGCTGGAGGTTGCTAAATGCATTGTAACGGCTGCGGGAAAGGTAGTTTTTCGCCGTGGTGCTACTCCTGTGCTTTGCGGAATTGCAGCTGGATGTTGCAAAATGCACTGTACTGACCACCCGAAGAGAAGAATTGGGTTGCAGAAGCTACAGAAGAGGTATAGGCGCGAGGCGGGAGGCAGTTCAGAGCAGAAGTTGCCCGGATAAGTGGCTGCTCACAAAAAGTAGCTGACACAAAAGGTGCCTCAGCGAAGAAGTCGCTCAGTCAAGAAGTAGCTCAACAAAGAAAAGTAGCTCGCCCATCCACGCACCCATCCATCAATCCATCCACCCATCCATCAATTGATTCATTTCTTTGTTCGTTCATTCAGTCTTTCCTTCATTCGTTCATTCATTCATTCATCCATTCATTCATTCATTCTTTCGTTCGTTCGTTCGTTCGCTCGCTCCTTCCCTAACTCAGTCACCGATTCATTGAATAATTGGGTCATTGGTTCACTAGTTCACTGGTTCATTGGTTGGCTGATTCGCTGATTCTTAGATTCAAGTATTCTTTGTTCATTGATTCATTGGCTCATTGATTCATTGATTCGTTCATGGATTTGTTGGTTTATTGGCTCGATGAATCGTTGATTAACTGCTTCATCGGTTCATCAGTTCGCTATTCGTTGATTCACTGAATCATTGGTTCGTTGGCTCATCGATTGATGATTTCACTCATTCATTCGTTCACTGACTCATTGATTCATTGATTCACTGCATACCGGGCATACCGTTTCACCGACTCACTGATTAACTGGTTCATTGGTTTAGCAGCCCATTAAATAACTCATTGAGATTCAGTGATTCACTGGTTCATAGGTTCATTCGGCCCGTTGTGCACGGATTCTTTCATGTCAGTTCATGGGCATCTCAGCCACCATTTGCTCATTCGTTGATGCACCTCGCGACTTCAACAGTTCATTGCTTCTGCATCTCAAGAACGTTCCTATAAGCCATTTTCTTCCTATAGTTGTTTGAACTTTTTGAAACTTCCGCCCCGGCGCGGGCCGGGCACTATCTGGTATACTACCTATCTGTCATTATCTCTGTAAAAAAAATGTGTGTATGTATATATATATATATCCTAGACCTTCATTTGGTACAGAAAAAGGTGTACCTTTTTATTTCTGCTCGATTTGTTTTTTTCTGCTCGGTTCAGGGGGTCCAAAAAAAAAACGCTCGGTATGTTCTGTACCAATGAAGGTCTAGGATATGAAGAGTCCCCTTAGTGGCTATCTTGATGATGGCTGAAAGAAATACAATATCTACAATATATTATACGATATATATATATATATGCACGAGCTATCATCTAAATATGCATGGGCTACTGGAAGCTAGCATCTGAAGCTAGCACAGTTACATAGACTTGATGTTCTCTCTCTACCCCCTTCCCTCTCCCAGCATGTTTTCCTATTTTTTCCTACTCTTACCTGATCTCTTGTCTAAGTATTGCTGCCACTTTCGGCGGTAATGCGTCAATGCACGCCGCATTGTGCGGATGCAAATCAGAAACGGGTGGCACCGCCTCGACATTCTCGAGACCTAAATGGGTTCCCAACAGCCAGGTTTTGAAATACAGTGCCCACGATGTACCCTGAGCATCTGACATGGCCTATGAAGGCCTCGTCCACCCATGTGGCGAAGCCTGTCACTGAATGAAAAAACTCGCATGCATGCACGCACAATCATGCGTAATCATGCACAATCATGCACAGCAAACTCACCAGCCAAGCAACACATTGGCGACATCACCATTTCAGCTCCTCTTAGAAGTTGGTCGTGCATCCACATCCTCAAAAAAAATCAGCATGCATGTTGGTCAAGCCCCTGCCCAACATAGAAAAGATACAGCAGCATCCCTCAACCAAGTGCAAGAAAGTGGCCCAATCTCTTGCTGAGAATGGAGCTTGGGCTTCCTTTTAAACAATTTCCAAGATCGAGCAGCACACCATGCTGCAAGGGCATTGTGGCCTTCCTTGGGCTCCAAGCCATTCGGAAAAGCAGTGGCAGCAAAGAAACATAGAATCACTAACAGAAAGCATGTTCAACATATTCTGTGCGTAAGTTGACAAGAATCAGTCATGTTGTGGCAATGCTGGACCAATCCTCTGGCTTCTGTGGCTGGTATCCACCTTCTGCCTTTGACATTGACTGCGCGGAAATAGATATCTATTGCATTCATGACCCATCGAAGGAGTCCCAGAAGATCACTCGGGGTCACCTCAGTAAGTATGATCATGTCTGCAGCATGCGTGCTCTTCCAGGCATGCATGAACAGCCTTGCATGATTGCCATTAAAGCACCGACTCCATGTTGGGGTGCTGGAAGACAACATGATGGAGCCACATGCAGAGTGCTGCAGTGTCATAGCCTTTGCCTCCAAATCGCGGCCAGTCATTCAGCCTCATGTGTGTGTGTGCGTGCTTGCGTGCAGATACATTCACATACGGTGCCATGTAGCAAAAAAATGAGAAGCACTGTGTATGCATGCGTCCAGGCAGCGACATGCACTTGAAAGTTTTCTTCAAATCAAACATCATGATGCTGCTAGAAATGCGCATCTGCCGACGCCATGTGTCGAACTCTGCAAAAGCCAGCTCCAAACGCCCCTCTATGGTTGAAGCAGGCCAAACATGCAGCCGCAAGGCCAAAAGTACCTAGAACAAAATCTTGCATGAATGGAACAGATTAAACTAGCAACGCAATAAACTGCGCATGCGTGTGGCTCAAAAGCATCCAAAAAAATCATTGCCGCTGCTAGGTGCCACGAGGCACACAGCTCTTGCCCCAAGCCCAAATGCCAGGTATGGGCTTGATCAGGGCAAACATACGGCCCGCAACCGGGAACTGAACTCAAAGCAGAAGGCTGGTAACATGGGTTGTCTCCTGGTCTATTGCGACGCCATTCTGCGCCAAGGTCTGTCCGCCACCATTCCTGCTCTCAGTTGCCAACATTTTCTGGTTCAGCCACATGCGTGCCATGCATGTATTCTTAAGTTAGATTCCAGCCTGTCCACTGCACAAGTGGCATATCCTTGCCGATGTGAATCCGGTTTGCAATAGGTTGCATTTACCTAGCTGCGCACTTGTATGCCATTATTGCAAAAGCATGCAAAGCTATGATGGTCACACTCCCAAAGTTTGATTGCATCTGCGGCGCGTTGCCACGGCCAGTCACCACGGATTCCCACCATGGCTACAAACATTCTCTTTTTTGAACCATCTTTCTTGGAAACCTCACGCAGCTGAGCATGCATGATTATTTCATGACCAGCCATGCAGGGGCCAGCAAGTACTCAACTGAGGCCATCACTTCAAAACCCTCTTCCAAAAGTTCATTCAAATCTTTCGCAACTTCTGTATGGAGAGCTTCCAAAGTCTCCACTCCATCATCACCAGTGGCATACCGCTCTGCTGGATACACTGTGGAAAGGAATCTAGAGAGAAAAGGGTGCCCTGAAACTGCAAGAACTGCCACGTAGCTTGTCACCAAAACAGCTCTCTTCAAACGGCCTCTGCCTTCGTCTCCATGGTACATCAGCGGCACCACTGCGTTCAGGTTTGATGCATGCCTTTCATACACAGCATGGCCTGGGTCAACCCCACCGTAGAGTTCCCAAAAGCTTGCCAAAGCTCTTTCATGCTGTTCATCATCAATGGTGAACCCATTCATCAAGAGTGCCCCTCCAGTTTTGGCAAAGATAGACTGCAGCCAGCTGGAAAGAAGAAGGACTGGCCATGGTACCACAGTGGTCCGATTCCGAAAAAGACACGGACATCGAACGCTGCTGACAGGAACATTGAGAGACAATCCAAATCGCGTGATCAACTTGTGGAGGTTGCGGGACCAATTCCCGGGATTTTTCCAGGAGGCAATCTGCATCAAAATCGCAGAGCGACCTGAGCCACATGTCCGAAACAAGCCATCTCACCTTGGGCAGGCACCACTCTGAGCTTCCAGCGTGCAAGCGGGTGCTGTTGGAAGTGACTTGACAAACGGCATGCTGATACACATGACCGGGCGCTGTCAGCCTCGGAAGGCTTTGCTGCTGCCAGTCAATGAAATTATCCAGAATGAATGGCAACTTGACAGAATTAGGCAGTCAAGCAGCTCCTGTCTCAAAATGCTCCAGCAGCTCTTCAACTAGCTG